GATACATTATTCAAACTGCTGCAAACTGTTTCCAGTTTCCACACTCCACACTGCTGTTTCCCTCCCTTCCCCAACATCCAATTGCAGATACTTTAATCTAATCGTCATAGACAGTTCCCACACTCCAGACTGCTCGCCTTGACTACTTCCTTCACCACTTCCTACGTCGCGGACCTGTTTCCCTCTCTTCCCATAGCATTTTTGGATTGCAGATACCTTAATCTAATGGTCATAAACAGTTCCCACACTCCAGACTGCTCGCCCAGAGTACTATTTCCTTCACCACTTCCTGCGTCGCTGACCTGTTTCCCTCCATTCCCATAGCACTTTAGGATTGCAGACACCTTAATCCTCAGTAGTAATTTATTAATCTTTATTTTAAATTATGTACAGGGCCGTCCCTAGGGTTGGCGGCGCCCCCTCCCCCCCAGTATTAGTCAGTCGCAATGGCATATTTTAATACCATGTTAATATAAATAGCCGCTGCGCACCCCCTCAGCCACGGTGCCCGGGGCAGCTTGCCTCGGTTGCCACCCCCCCCCTTCGGACGGCCCCGAGTATGTATGTCACATACCTAAATTGCTATTATTTGCCTCATACCATCTATTTAAGAATAGATGATGATGGACAGATGGGTTTAGCTTTAAACCATCAAAAAGCTAAATACTTTACTCAGGATTGAATAAACCTTTGGTAGTACCAGAATATTAGTTGGTGGCGCACCCAATTTATAGGTCACAAATTAAAAATAGGTTATAATTCAAACAATTTTTATGACTATTATGTTTAAATTTTGATAATGGCAATTAAAGGTTGCTTCTGACTTTTACACTGTTAGTTTAAGATATGTATTTTTCAGGCCAATGTTTGTTTTTAAAATAGATTCCTGAGTGCACAGACATGAAAAGACTTATACGGAAGTTGATAGTTGAAGCAGATCCAAGAAAATATATGAGACGAGGAACATCACCATGCTTAATGATTACGGTAGCTATAGCAGTGATTAATGTATGTCTTAGGCTAGTTTTAGTCAGTTAGTTCTATTGAGGCGACACACTGATATTGATATTCTTGAGTGTGGCAGACTGCGTGAAAATATAATACTATAATAATATATTTGGTTACCGTCTACGCAATCAGGGGCGATTTCGGAGATAACTCCATTGTCAGGTGCGTAGTGGTAGACTAAACTATAGTCTTGTTACACTTAATACAAAAAGTCTTCATTTGCATTGTGTCAGGAAACAGGACGGACCCACAATTTAAAACACGAATAAACGAAAACACTCAACCTAGTCGGTCGTCAGTTTTTAAAGCCGTGCTCATGCTCGAAATGTTTTTGTGTATTCGTGTTTTTGTGTGTCTGTCCTGTTTTTATAAGTCTATCATTTTTTTAACCCCTGACGCTATGCAAATGAAGACTTTTCTTATTAAGAGTAACTAGTGGTCGTCCTGTGGTCGAAACTCGACCAAAAATAATTAATGTACAGACTTCTCTATTTTCTCCCCACACTGTAAATATAACATGTGATTGGAATTTCTTCCATTTGTTTTGATTTTCTGTTTACATTTTGTTGTTATTTCGTCACCGTCATGGCAACCTATATGGTCCATGTTAATTTTTTGAAGTTTTCAAATTCATTTTTTGTTCTTATTTGTGAGCCTATTTTAATTTATAAAGGGATTCTGCACATCTACAGGAAAATATCTTTCCAACAGTATGCGTAGATTTTCCCTGCGATGCACACAAGCTGAGAAAAAAGGTTTTAAAGAAACATGCTTGCCTATTAATATATAGATAAGACTATAATTTAGTATTAATCAGTGTGGCAGATTGCGTGTAATAAATATAAAGGTTACTTACAGTCTTCGCAATCCTGTTAGTTGAGCACTACGGCCGTTTCGGAGATAACTCCATCGTCGGGTGCGTAGTCATTATACACTAATCTGAGCTATTTACATATTTACATTTCTTACGTGGTTTCTTCATTTTCATTGCGTCAAAGTTAAATAAATAGTACATACAACACAAAACACGGACAATGTTTTCTTGTCTTCAGATAATGTTTTCGTGTCGTGTCCGTGTTTTGTGTTGTATGTACTATTTATTTAACTTTGACGCAATGAAAATGAAGAAACCACGTAAGAAATGTAAATATGTAAATAGCTCAGATTAGTGTATAATGACTACGCACCCGACGATGGAGTTATCTCCGAAACGGCCGTAGTGCTCAACTAACAGGATTGCGAAGACTGTAAGTAACCTTTATATATAATTTAGTGTACCACCTGACGATGGAGTTATCTCTGAAACGGCTGTAGTGGAGATGGTAGTGGTGATGGATTGGCCCCTGATTGTGTAGATGGTGAGAACCAAATATATTACTATACCGACACTGACATTGACTTTGGTTTAAAAAATAACTTAATGAACTACTCTCACTGGTTACCCATTAAACCGTGAAATCAATAGGCCGTGAAATATGTTAACTGTTAAAAAACCTATATTGATCAGTGAATTTTGTAGTTAAATCTTACGTCCGATACCCATCTAGGGTTAATTGTAACTTATAGTGGTGTTGGTGTGTAATCCTAAGATTTTCGATCAACCCAGAGAAGTAAGGTAGAGTAGGCAAAGTTTAACACCGCCCCTCTCGCCATCATGTACTACAACACTCACAGTGGACAAAGATCCTGTGCCCCGTGCGATAGGAATTTCCGCACAGTCCTAGGGCTCTTCCTTGCTCGTCACAAGTTTCCCAGCGTAAAATCAAAGAGCTGAAAGCGCTTGGCCGTCCCATAAACCTGTTTACTTTGTACCTTCCTTCTCTGTGATCAAGCCAAACTGAAGTCGAGCTTTTTTAAGCTGATCTTTTGTATGTTAGTGGTTATGGTTATGTCAGCTTTAACTTCTGGTCCCAATGGCAAGTTTTTTTACCTTCAAACTCCGGGATTAGCGTCTTTTCATCCTGGGATTAACAGGATTACAAAACATTTAGTTTATTGATTTCTTGTCAACTTGAGGAGTTATAGTTTACACTTTACTTTACTTTTAATAGTAATTTCATACACACTATTTAGTGTAACAAAAAAAGAGGTGTTGGCCTTTTTATGTTGTACTTATTATATTTTATATCAAAAGACAGTAAAAGTGTGAATTGTAATCTGTACAGTTAAAATTATTAAAAGGGACCCCACTACACTATTAATAGAAAACTCTAGAAGTGTTAATAATTAAATTATATAATAGATCCTGCGAACGGCGTAGACAAATCATGAAATCCTGGGATAAGCCTTATTTGAATTTCTTATCATTTTTTTTTTCTTATTTGTCGCAACAATCCCACCTGGACTCTTTCTAAAATTCTTGACTTTGTTCATCTCAAAAAGTAAGCAAATTTTACTTTGTGGTTTGCGATTTGTGAATTTAAGAAGGATTTGAAAACATTTTTAATAGCAAATTCATTTTACAGACTGGATGACTTATATGATTGATTTAAATTGATAATTGATGATTTTTTAAACTTTAAGCAATGTATTTATTTCAGGCCCGTTTTTGACCTTATCAGCGCCCTAGGCACAACTAATAGTAGCGCCCCTTTGCAATATATATAACAGGGTGTCCACCAACTGGGAAATCCGGGAATCACGCGCGAGTTTTTTTAAACCGGGAATTATGTGAATGTGTGAATTTTATATTTCTACATAGAGTTTTCAATTTTACTGTGATCGCGCATGACAACAGTGACGTTTCCGTGACCACGGGAGACGAAGGCCGGGAGGGATGATCAGAATTTACCGCGATCGCAGAAGACGATGATAATGTCCACACGACCGCGGGAAACAGCAAGAATTTTGCTGCGATTGCGGTAGACGAAGATGATCTCAACACAACTGTGGGACATGATTAACATTTTACCACAATTGCGGGAGACGACTCCCATGTTTTGACAACCACGGGAGACGATTTATGATGTCTACAGGATCGCGGGAGATACAATAATGATTTGTACGTGGCCGCGAGGGATGATCACAATTAAATATGTCGCGATCGTTCAAGACGATGATAATGTCCATATGACTGCGGGAAAAGATCAGAATTTTGCCTAATTCGCGGAAGACGATTATCTCCATATATGTCCACGGGAGATAATTACCATTTTTTCGCAATCAAGGGCGGCAATTGCTATTTCCAAACGACCACGGAGGACGATATAGTAATGTCCTCACGACCGAGGAAAAGATCAGAATTTTGTCTCATTCGGGGTAGACGATGATAATCTCCTCACGACCGCGGGATATATGTTCATACATTTCCTCGATCATGGAAGACAATAATTATGTCTATACGACACGACCGCGGAAAATGGTAAGAATCTTGCCGCAAACGCGGGAGACGATTACAATGTCTACAAGGCCGCGAGGAATTGTCAGAATTTTACCACGATCGCATGCAAATACAACCACAATTTTTTTACAAATTTTTGGCGCCCCAAAAAAAAGCCAATTGCCTCGCGCCCTAGGCACGTGCCTACCGTGCCTATTTGGTAAATCGGCCCTGATTTATTTTATGTCAAAACTGCTGTTATATGAATTAACTTTAACTTTAAATTGATAATTGATGATTTTTTTAACTTCAAGTAATATATGTATTTTATTTAATAATAACATAATGACGCATTCACAATGTATCTGTACATTCTGAATAAAGATTATATTGATTGATGATGCATTTTGTACATTCATGATGCATAAAAATGAAGAGTGAATGATGTTCGACTAATGTGATTATTTTATAGTATCTATATGCTTTGGTAAGAGAAAAATATCTTGACCAATAATTATTCTTTTCCTCTAGGAGTCGAGAAATTCCCTAAGTTATTTCAGTTACATTATCTTTTTAGTATAGATAGCTTAGATAGTGACATATCTTTTTTCAGTGACTGACACTAACAAATCAATCATTATAAAGACAATGTTATCAAAATACCAACATCTTCTTATAGCAACTACTTGAGATCCTAAGTATAAAAGACACTTTTGCCTTTAAGCAACTGATTGTCACTTGATTTGCCCAGGTAAGAGAGTTTTGTAGTAAACTTTCAGGTACATTTCACATTTCAGTGCACAATGTGCTTAACTAGTGATTTATGGTCATTTAGTTACTTTCTTACAGCCCAAAATTTTGATTTTTCCTTCGATTTCTTCTCTTAGCTTATAGTTTGGTCATCATTATTAGATTTGTTAATATTTATCTATATTTGAGTTTTTTAATCCTTTCCAGTTGTTGTAATGCTGCGATCTAGATTTTTTTATAGTTGTTGCCTAAGCTTTATTTTTAAAGTACAGTAGGTACTGTACATTATCATATATATTGAAGAAATGTGCTACCAACCCCCTTGTTCCCCTACTTGTCCCCTAAATGTACCTGGCATTAAACATATTACTGATATATATTCTTATACTTCCATCAATTGTTTATTTACTTCTGGTTTTTTTAGTGTCATTAGACAGTTTTTTGGATATGGTCTGAAATGACAAAAATATGGGATGATCCCAGTTTGCCTTGGAAACATGGTATTCTAACTAAAAGATTAGGATCACTTGGTGGTACACAAGTTAAACATATCCTACGTAACTAAATGATTGATGTGGATTTTGTAGGTGATACTGACAGTACGACACCATGAGGGTAGTTCTAGTGCTGGCTCTGGTAGCAGCAGCTACAGCCTCACACCTAAGAGTCCAGGTTGACCATAACAGTCCATTGGAGAGTGATGAGATAATTCAGGCAGTAAACAACGCTCAAACCACATGGAAGGTAACTGATGTATACTAATAAAGGAGTAAGTAGATGGTGTTCTCATATGACAGACTAGCAGAGTACCCGTCCTTCGTACGGGGTTGGCATAGAAGTATAAAATGCTTATACATATGCTTTGACAGCTCCATTTAAGTGATGTTAAATAATGTTTACATTTAGGCTAGTGACATCATTATTTTAATTTATAATCCTTACCCTCTCTGTTCTAATATTCGTGCAGTATTTAATATGTTTGAACCAGCTGTGTGGAATTGTAAAATCAAAATTCATTTGACAGTTAGTTCTGCTTGTTTACATTTTTAAACTTTGTAGGTTTGTTCTTTGTTACCATGGATACCATCAATCAATATTTACTTTTAAATCTCTCACCTCAAATTTTTGAATGCCCACGGGGCAGAGCCGTAGGACAATATCGAAGCGGGAATAGTTCTATATGTATCCTCGGAACTGTAGCTTCATTTGTGTGCAATTTGAGCCCAGTAGGTTCAGTAGTTTTTTAGATTAGCTCATACAAACACACACACACACAGACACCACCTCTTCTTTTTGTAAAATCAAAATTCATTTGACAGTTAGTTCTGCTTGTTTACATTTTTAAACTTTGTAGGTTTGTTCTTTGTTACCATGGATACCATCAATCAATATTTACTTTTAAATCTCTCACCTCAAATTTTTGAATGCCCACGGGGCAGAGCCGTAGGACAATATCGAAGCGGGAATAGTTCTATATGTATCCTCGGAACTGTAGCTTCATTTGTGTGCAATTTGAGCCCAGTAGGTTCAGTAGTTTTTTAGATTAGCTCATACAAACACACACACACACAGACACCACCTCTTCTTTATAATAGTATAGATAGATAGATAGATTGCAGGAATCCTACTTTCAACTTAGTGTGCTAGTCAATACAATTTTTATTGGTTAAGTTTTAACTAACAAGTCATCTCTACCACATTAACAATAAAAGGATGTTTATTTTTTTTTTATTGATATTGTAAGGTCTTACCTTTAGCAATGCTATTTTATCAATCCAAAATTAATTTAGGACCCGAAGGTCCATCTTCAGTTGGAGTCTAGGTTGACCAAATTTTTAAAGTAGAATCCACCTGTTGGGTTTCGTAGAAAGTTTTATTACATTTAACATAATACAAATTATTGTTGATATGAAAACAGTATAACAATTAACAATTATGGATAAAAACCATCCCACACTACGAAAACCATGGTTTTTAATGTCTTTATAAATAATTTTTATACTATTTTCATATTGACTATAATTTGTATTGTGTTAAATGTTATAAAACTTTCTACAAAACCCAACGGGTGGATTCTACTATAAAAATTTCGTCAACCTAGACTCTAACTGATAATGGACCTTCGGGTCTGAATTTAATTTCAGATTGATAAAATAGGATTGCTAAAGTAAGACCTTACAATATCAATTAATTATATACAAGCAATCCAGAGGCTAAAACGTTTGACTATTTGTTTAAGTTGATTGTTGGCAGTGGAAAGTCTATATCCCTACATATTAGAGCTTATGCCAAATTTTGTTACGTAATTGGAATCATTGAGTTTCCAACCTGAAAAGGATGGAAACCAGATCACAGATCTAGAAATTTATGAACTTTGTGTGATGTGAAATACATAAAAGAACTATAATTTGCTGATTACACACTTTCTTTGAATGGTTTTACATTCTTTTCTATTCTTATTTCTATGTTTAAATCCTAACTTTATTTATTCAGGGAGAAACCAAAATTTCAACTAATGTCAACATCAGAGTAACAATATTTCAGAAAGACACAAAATTACATTTGATGTTTCAGGCGGGTAGGAACTTTGAGAACACCTTCACCAAGAGACACATCAAGCACCTGCTGGGTCTGAAGACTCGCCCCGGTGGCAGCAAACTGCCTCCTCTAGAGGATGATGAGGACGAGGACCTGGAGTTGCCAAAGACGTTTGATGCCAGGACCAAGTGGAACAGCTGTGTGTCCTTGCAGGAGATCAGAGACCAGGGTCCCTGCGGCTCTTGCTGGGTGAGGCAGTGAGGAGATTACTAGGCGTTGTAACAATAATGCCTAATAAATAAAATTAATAATATTTAAATGTTTAAAAATACAAAAAAGGCGATACACAAGGTGTAGTGGGTACAGTAAGTGACTTTTGGATATTGAGGTAGTTATCCCATCTAAATAGGTTAATATAGGATCAGCTGTAGCCTATTTCCTAAATTCAAAAAGTTCAAAAATGTGCTACAGTGTAAAATTCCCTTTAACTCTTGCAGTGATAAGGCTCGATCAGTCAGTCTTTAATGTTTTTGTGTTGTATATATTATTTGTCAACTGTTGTAATGAAAATGAAAGAAATCTCATGAACGATACAAATCATTAAGTTTATCAACCACGCACCCAATGACAGAGTAATCTCTGAAATGGCCGAAGTGGAATAACAAATGTTCCTTTTATCACCTTGGTTTTAAAAATCTTCTAAGTTCAGCAGCTTCATCTTAGTTCCTGCAGGAGGATTATCAGCTGATATGGTTATGGAGGAGGATAATCCGCTGGTTTTTATGTAGTTGACTGTTTGTTTATCCTGGCTGTCCATCGACAAACACTACTTATGTTGAGTTAGGTTATGCTGGTATTGATGATTACTTGATGGCAAAAGGAACCAATTCTATGTTAAATGTTAAATTGAAATAAGTTTGAAAAGGAGTTTTAATCGATATGTAGTTTTAAAGTTAGTTTTATGTTTTATTATGATTGAGCCTAAGACTTTGCTTTTCTGCACATAGCTAAACGATGGCTAGCACACAGACAGGTTTGGGCTATTAGTGGATGTAAGCTTGCAAGTCCTATTATTTGTTTGATCTTTTTACCCCCCTTGAAGTTTGGTTCACAGACTACAGTGGCACTGGGTGGCCAAGCAACAGGTCGATGAACACCTGTTTGCTATTTATTTTGGGACAAAGGCTGCGATGTTGAACAAATGATTTTATTTGTAGGCTGTAGCGGCTGCTGCAGCACTCACTGACCGTTTCTGCATCGCCAGCAAGCAACAGTTCAACGGCCACCTGTCTGCTGAAGATCTGCTGTCTTGTTGCTGCCCGTGTGCTGTCAGTTGCGGGAAGGGTTGTGAAGGAGGTTACGATGATGAGGCTTGGCTCTACTTCTACCACACTGGCATCTGCACTGGAGGAGACTACAAATCCAAGGAGGTCAGTTCTGTTATTGTATTGTGTTACAAATTATAGTACTTAGACTACACGGAAACATAATCATTATATTGAAATGATGTCCCTGTCCTCTGTGTTAATATGTCTGTATATATGTTTTTAAGACTTAATGACAACTTTATAACTTATACTTTTTATTGAAATGGCGACTACCTCCTAGGAGTAATAATTTCACTTTCTAAGGCTTGACAATGGCACCTTAGTGTGTCTTATCCAGTCACCACTCAGACCAATAGAATTATTTTGGTAACCAGGTCCTTGTTATATTTAGTTCAAGGGCGGTTTTTTTTAAGTAAGCGCCGATTTAGCATTTGGATCCGAAGTTTGCTTGTGTGTTGCAACGAGGCTCCTTGCCACTTACTGGCATATTTTTTTAACAGAATGAGACCATTTTTAGTTCTTTAGCTACCCTTTGTGATAAAAAAAAAATAAACTGAATCTCCCGCCATGTAATATGATGATGTTGGTGATATGTTTTGTTTATTACAAGACATAACGACATTCATTGCCAGATGGCTGTAGGCTCTGGCTCTAATGCAATTAGTGAGGATAAAGTGCTGAAATGGGTAATGGAGTGGATAAAGGGCCATAAAATCTTTTTTTATTTGTGGTCTTCTGTGAGAATTCAGAATTCCCACCAAAAATAATTCCTTCCGGAATAAATATTTTCATGGCACCTTCCTGGTAAGCCTGGCGGCTATACCTTGCCCACCCAACTATAATGACTGCGCGCCACCACTGGAAATTGGACCACCTTGGAAAATAGCAGCTAAAAATGTTTAAGACGCTAAACTTAGTTATTAAAAATAATTTTTAGGTTCCTGAGAGTCTGCCTGAGGCTCGCTAACCTCTTAGCGTGTAATAAGTCAAGCATAACATGACATAGCAATTTTCATATGACATATTCATATTGTCATTGGGACTTATTTTCCCCTTCAAAATCAAGAGTCACTTATGTTTTAGAATTATGCAAAACAAAATATGAACCTACCTTTTAAAACAGATAATTTAATTTTGTTATCAACTATAAATCCAAAATTATTAACAGTGATGGAAAATCAAAGAGATAGTTTTGTAAATCAATAATCATGTGTTAAATCAAAACAAAAAGAAGTTTTAGTCCGTGTTTATAGACTATCGTAATATTCTTAAAGTTCAATTCATGGGTCTAAAAGTTCAAGTAAGTTCTTTCTGTCTTAATAGATGAACTACTCTTAGTTATTTAAATGGGACATAGCATAACTATTCCCTCCTATTGTCTTATATTTTATTTTACTATCATAATATGTCAGTTTTGGTTCTCCCAGGGTTGCCAGCCGTACACCTTGCCAACATGTGAACACCACGTTTCCGGGCCTCGTAAAAACTGCAGCTCCTACGGTGACGTACCAACTCCCAAGTGTCAGAAAACTTGCTACAACAAGAAGTACAAGGACCACACCAAGGACCAGGACCTACATTTGGGTAAACCAGTTGTTACTAAAGCTTATCATTATCATCACTTTAAATTTTAGAGTAAGGTGGATAGCAGCTAGCTTACCTTGAAGAATTACTTTACACTTTACTTTAATACCTTTCAATGAAATGGTGACCATACAAAGTAGGTATTTTAAGCCAAGTATGAATGAAGATGATTGTAGGATGAGTGTAAATGTGTAATAATGAAAGTAAAAGAAAAGTGGCGCGATCTTGTAGTCTTGTTAGTGACTAAGGCCGACATATTCCTTAGACACAGCTGTTAATTAATATCCCATACAGCTAATGGCAACCAAGGGACCTACAGTTTATAAGAATAAGAATAAGAATAAGAAATATTTATTTCCATTGATCTTTATAAAAGAAATAGGACACGTCATTGTTATACATAGTTACAAGGTGATTCAGTGTTTACAGTACAAAATATCTAAATTTAAATAGCCACTTACATGAAAATAACAACTTTATTTCAACTTACTCTTCAAAATCTAATATTTAAATTTCACAACTTAAAAAATCATCAATTTTGTAAAAGGGATTTTTAACAATCCAGTCATACAGTTTATTTTTAAAAATACTGTAAGAAACTAATTTTGCTTCTTCAGGCAGCTTATTAAAAAACATTATACAATTTAATTTATGTGAATGTTTGGTTTTGCCAATCTGTGCTGCAATATATCTATTTTATCCCTACCTATTGTATATTGATTGTGTACGTCTTTTCGGAAAGAGAATTGATCTAAGTTTGACTTGTATACATTAGAATTTGGAATATATAAAGATTTACAATGGTTGGTATCCTGAAATTAATGAAAAGAGGTTTACAATGTGTATCTGAGCATTCTCCAGCAATGCTTCGAACCGCCTTCTTCTGGAGTAAAAGGATGTCATTAACATGTGGAGAGTGGCCCCACAAAATAAGACCATATAGTAGTGTGATTGAAAGAGTCCATAATACGCCAATCTTAAATATTCTTGACTAACAAAATCCTTAAGTTTCCACAGCAAGCACCTCACTCTTGAAATTTTGTTACAAACAGATTTTATGATTCCTTTATGATTCCTCTTTTTTTATAGTGGAATCGGAACCTCACTTTTTACCTTGGTATTAACGAATTGGTCTAATTATCAGGATAGTACTGCAGATAGTCAGAGTACTTACTAGTGCGGACGTTAATCCACACCAGGGAGTATTGTATCCACAGTGCATGTCTATAAATAACCACAATACGTGACATCCTACTAGCTGGATTACAGGACCATCGCCACCGTCCCAGTCATTGTAGGTAGGCCATAGAACGTACAGAAGAGAGACTGTAAACACAATATTTTGTCGCCTAGGGGACTTTCTCAAGTGAAGAGGAAGTGTTAAAAAATTTACCAAACCCTACGCTAGTTCGGCCGCTTAGAAAACGACCTGCGCGCTAATGCTAAACCAATGCTGGAGGAGGTCGTTTTCTAAGCGGCCGAACTATAACAGTAATGTAAATTGTATCGCCCACAGGCAGGGTCAGATAATACAATAGTTTGGACGAATAGAGACTATAATATATTATAATTATAGAGTACAAACTTTCTTCAGATTTCACCATGAAAAATGTACTTGCAATTTCCTTGATAAATGACAAAACTTAAATACTTGCTTATGTTGCAGTGAAGTCTGTTTTTTCAATCGGTGGAGACGTCAAGAAAATTCAGAAGGAAATCTTCAAGAATGGTCCACTTGAAGCTGGATTTGATGTTTACGAAGACTTTTTGAGCTACAAGTCCGGTATGTACAATTCAATATTAAATTACAAAACTGTTTTGTAACTGAGTGATAAGGGTTTTTCTGGGTACACAATATCTGCGAGCTTCAAGATATTTGTTTATGTCTTGGTGAATTGGTATTGCCATTTAGTTATACTTATACTTTAAAAAAACATTTGGACTCCTCTCTTGTTAAGGTACCTTGGAACTCCATTGACAACGCTAAAACAAATAGGGGTTAGGTTTTTGAAATCACACATGATGTGTGCAGTTAATTTCTATACCAAGGAATAAAGGAAAGTAACAATAATATCTCTTGGCCTACCATGCATCCCTTGACAAAGTTACTTGTTAGTGATTTATTTGTTTATCAAACTCAGAAAAAAGAAGCATATTTGCGTGAGTGCAAGAATTATACACCCAAAGCCTTCTGAGACCAAGTGTATATTACTTACCACCAAGATGTTTGTTGTTTGGCCATAGACAGAGCAAGTGCTAGATACAAACACAGATATCCAAATCTACGGGATCCGAACAAGAGGGATTAATTCTACCTTATTGAACTATTCTGTAATGGAAACATTTGACTTCAAGGCCACCTGTTTGATTGTTGATTTTTTGATCTCTAAAAGTATTTTCCGTGTTTAAAAGGTGTGTACCAACACACTACTGGCAGTTATGTGGGAGGCCACGCAGTCAAGGTGATCGGCTGGGGTTCTGAAAATGGAACTGACTACTGGCTGGTGGCCAACTCATGGAACACTGACTGGGGTGACAATGGCTTCTTCAAGATCAAGAAGGGAACAGATGAATGCAGCTTTGAAAGCGCCCTCAATGGTGGTTACCCTGTTGTTTAGAATAGATATTTTGAACAAATAATCTAATCTTACTTGTTTTTATCTTTACACTAATTCAGTGCAAATAAATGTTTTATTTTTGAAAACATATCGGTTTGTTAATTGTTTGTTTCGGTTAATTTTTAATTTCTATGATGGGTCTATTTAAAACGGAATTTTGATAAAAAGAGAGAGGGGAATCAGTAAAATTCCATACGTAGCCTTGTAAGCCTAGTTTTTATGAGTCAAAGTTTGTGTTGTACTTGATCTTCGCAAGACTGGATGGCATGGGTAGTTTGCCTTTTTGAAATAAATTAGGCCTACAGTAGAACCTCTATAATCCAAACTAATTGGGACCGGGGTAGTTCGGACTATTGAATAGTTCGGATTACAGAATATATTGTTATTTTTATATAACATAATAGCTAAAGCTTAATTGTTACGGAAAAAGTGAAAAAATGCATTATAAAGTAAAATACAGTGTTTATTTAATACAGTAGTTTACATAGCGAATAAAGAGTACTGTACATTACAAAAGAAACAATTACAGTGTGTATATCAATAAATATAGTATACAATAAAGAAATTCTGTGGGTTTGGATTAAAGAGGTTCCACTGTAGTTCTGCCCCGATCAGGAATGGTTCTGAACCTAAATGCAAATTATATTATCTTGAGTTTGGTCATGGTTTATGTGATTGGGGTCTGTTCCACCCCACATTTAATACTTTAATACTTAACTTTGAAATGGCGACCATACAAATGTAGGTATTTTAAGCAAAGTATGAATGGAGATGATTGTAGGATGAGTGGCGCGATCTTGTAGTCTTGTTAGTGACTAAGGCCGGCATATTCCTCTGACAAAGCTGTTATTAATAGCCCATTCAGTCAATGACAACTAAGGGACTTACAGTTTATAGTGGAATCTGAACCACATTTTGCCTTGTAATTAACGAATTGGTCTAATTATCAGGATAGTACTGCAGTTGTAGTACTCACTAGTGCGGACGTAAATCCACACCAGGGAGTATCGCATCAACAGTGTATGCCAATTAATATAAATCCACAATTCGTGACCTCCTAGTAGCTGGATTACAGGACGATGCCACTGATGGTAACAAGACCTGGTTTTTCACAGTTTTCTTAAAACAAAGACCAATATTGTTAAAACAACACTCAAATATAAAAGAAAGTAATGGCTAAACGACAACTCTTCTATGAATGAATTTGCAAACCGACTGTTATCATGACATTATTTTAAATCACAGACCTCATATGTGGCTATAGAGCTTCAATAATTAAAAACTAATTAGACAAATAGAAAACATTATACATGTCAGCTACAGAGCTGCAATTGGCGCTTTTCTGTTCATAAATAATGCCAGTAACCTCGTTGCTGTGTACACGTGGACTGAGAAGATTTACACACAACGGGTCCTTGTTATCCTTCATTTGTTGTCCTTCATTTTGTTGAAGATTACAGAGAATGCAAAGATAATTTTGTTCAGTCCACGGCTTGTAGTTTAGATTTATCAATTCTGCTCTATCTTTAATAGCCAAAGAAGCGATATGCCTATTGTTTAGAATTATTGGGCTCCTATTGCCAAGTTCAAGGTCGAGCGTCAGTAATTGCCTGTGGTGGACAGAGGTCCGCGCTCGGCCAACACACTCCTCCCTCCACCTGCCACGCAACACTTCCGCCACCGTCCTCAGCTGGAGGCCCAACCCCTCTGGATCGAGATCTTGGAAACTAAACTCAATATTGCATATTTGTCCCAAATACTCCCGTTCTCTACACCAAGATACGTTTCTCAATTATTTGTTTTGCTAAAAAGATCGGCAATCGTTTGGGTGGCAAAGTTAACATCTCAAAATATAGTTAATATTTTAATTTATAGTGTAAAAATAAAGTTTATCGAAGTATGTTTCAAGGAAAATACATATTTTCGCGTATTATAAGGCAGTGCAAATATTTTTTTTTAAATAAAGTTTGTACTGATTCTATTATTTCACTTTCTATGAAACCCCAGGTCTGTGCTCCATAACAGATTGTAGATCGCACAACAGAGCCTCGAAACACAATATTTTGGAAATCATTGGCACTTTATTGTTTTTAAATAAAAAATTCCATACAGAATTGATAATAAATTTTCCTACTCTGGCTTTTTCCTTAAAATGGCTGTTACATGATAGGTTGCTTGTAAATGTAACCCATAAATACTTATACTGATTTACCACCTCGATAATGTTTCCTTTATACCTCCACTTATCACCTGCCTTTAGTCTTCCACCCTTTCTGAACACCATTATCTATCTTAGATTTATTTAGATAAGATTGATAGTTAGATTCCAAGTGTCACAATAGTTTTCTAATTTTTTAATCATATGCTGTAGCCCTGTGCTCGTTGGGGAAAGGAGAATAATATCGTCTACATAAAGTAGCACATTTATTTTAACCCCATTAACGTTAGGCCTACCCCTTCCACCACTTCTGGCAGATCATTTATAAATAGTCTGAATTAAGTCAGTGACAGATTACATCCTTTTTAGCGAATTTCCCATATAGGGAATAAGCTATTACCGTAGTACTCATGGTAAGACCTGGACGCGGGACCGATTTTTTTTTTCGATTTGAGGTCCCTAGAGGCCAAAAACACCATCCGTTCAAATTCATATATATATATGTGTCCGTCAGCACGATAACTCGAGCAAAAATGATCCGATTTTGATGAAATTTGGTACAAACGTGTAAACCTACGTTTATTCGAACGAGTTCGCGATCCAGCATGATCGGACCATGGGAACGGGGGTTTACGGGGGGTTTTATTGGGTAAAAATAGGTTTTTCCCATTTTTGACCCAAAAAACATAAAATTTAGCAATTTCTTTCCAAACCATTTTGTAGAGCTTAAAAAAACAAATAATTTAGTATATTGAAGCGTTATTATGCGCCTAATCGTTACGGAGAAAATTCCAAAAAATTGTAAATTTAAAATTCCCATGTTATTCTTATGGAGAATAAGTAAACTGTTGTAGTTTGCTTGTTTATGAACATATTTTGATCAAATTTGGAAAATGTTTTTATTTCTTACTAACTATTAACATTTTACAAAAAAAAAACAGTTTTACCCTCCCTGATGCAGCAAACCTAAGTACTTGTTAAACTAATTCTATTTAAATAGGGAATAAATGTAATTTTTTTAAGTAGACATTTTAGTGTAAATCCAATCAGTCAAATGGAAATTATATAGTCTGCAGGTTTGCTGCGGCGGGGGTTTTGTATGGTTATTGGTTACGGATAAAATTTTAAATTAAAAATTCCCATGTTATTCTTATGGAGAATAAGTAAACTGTTGTAGTTTGCTTGTTTATGCATATATTTGGATCAAACTTGTCCAATCTATTTATTTTATACTAAGCTATTAATATTTTACTATAAAATATGTGTTTTTTTTTAAACACACTTTATTACACTGTAGGCAGTAAACCTAGGTGCTCGTTCGTTATACCTAATGTTATTTGAATAGATTTAATTGAAAATCAAATCAGGCAAAATGGAAATTCGCTTAGTCTGCAGGTTTGCTGCGGCGGGGGTATTTAAACCTGTATTAGTTTGAAAATAACGGTTATTCCGCCTCAGCACCACACACTAGAACTAGTTTCACTGTAATAACTCTTTAAAACATTCCGCATTTGCGTGGAGACACCTAAATTTGCCAATTTGAAAACCAATGCTCTCCGATCAATTGTGTCGAAAGCCGAGCTAAAATCTACAAAGAATGCATAAAGCTTTTGTCCCTTTTGTAATAGACGTAAATTAATCATACATGTCAGATTAAATATGTTATCGATGGTGGCGTATCCTCTTCTGAAACCTGCCTGAAATTCTGTTAGTACTTCATTCTCGCACATCCACGTTTGTAATCAAATATTTATAAGGCTCGTGAAAATTTTCGTAATGCTATTAATAAAAGACAAACCTCGGTAGTTATCAGCTAAATTAACATCGCCTTTTTTGTGTAAAGGAAAAATAATCAATTCTTTAAATGTTTTTGGTACTGTTTCACTAATTTAGGCGGTTTGAGTGGGAGCGATTTCAACCCCTCCACCTCACCCTTACTTTAAAACAACAGCTGGCGGCGTATCAGCTGATATATAGATTGAGCTAAAAAATTGTGGGGGAATCCATGAAATACATTTATCTTGAGAAATCATTTTTGAGAGCTTATGGATATAAAATGGATCTTGTATTTTAACTGAATATTGTGTACCCATAATATGAATTAGTTTGTAGAAGTTCAACAACAAACACAAACACACCTGAACTTTGTTATTCTTATCAAAATTACCTACATAAGTGCTGGTGTCTATCTCTAGTTCCAGTGTCTAGAGTAAAGTCCAATACCGCTCCCTCGCCCTCATGTACTACAACGCTCACAGTGGCGGAAGACCGAGGAAGTGTGTTTTGAATTCCCGTACAGTGTTCACCATTCAGGATCTTCCTTGCTCATCACCACCAGTATATTTCCGGCACATCATCTCAGAGCTAAAAATGCGCGGTCGTCTCATAAACTTACTCTGTACCTTACCCTTCTGTGATCAAGCCAAACTTAAGTCAAGCTTTTTTAAGATGAGCGAAAAGTATACAGTACACACATACATACACATGTACAGTTATACATACAGTAGAACTGAATCAATTAGGACTGAACCACATTTGTACAGTCTAAAATTCAAATAAGTGGATTTTTACCATATTACAAGGCCAAGCTACTGTCACAGAACTCTTCCACAAAGATTTCCCATTCAAAAAAATTCACACTTATGATGCGATCTCAAAGGACGATGATGATTTTCCATGACCGCATCAGATGATGATCTTGTCTACATGACTGCAGGAGATGTTCAAAATTTGTCCACAATCACAGATTCTCTTTACCGTAATTGGGCTAATACTTTAATACTTTCTTATGAAATGGCGACCATACAATGTAGGTATTTTAAGCCAAAGTATGAATGGA